AAGTCGCGATCTGAGAGAGAGAGAGAGAGAGAGAGAGAATGACTAAGAGAGAGAGAGTTTTATTTATTAACTAGAAATGAACTGACAATTACGTTCAAAACACATGAATCTGAGCACTAAATCCACATCTTTTAAAATATTCTCAAATTGTGATCCTCGTTGTGCACATCATATGATATTTGATAACAACATTATAATATTATTTTCCACTTTTTGGTATTTCATAATTGAAAGGAAAACATTAAATTGCATAATATTCTTATAAAAAGTGCACTTAAACCTATATTTCTAATAACTAATTACATCCTATTTGCAGTTATTTTTATTTTGTACAGTATATACACTATAGTGACTAAAAGAATCCTGGATAAATTATGCTAAAAGCAACTAAAATACTAAAGGTTAAAAGTAATTAGAAATAAATACAAATGAAACATTGAAAACAACTTTAAAATTTTGTATAACAGAAAGAATTAAAATATTTATTTTATATTAAAAGTGCATTTAAATTATTTATAAAATTTTACTATATTGTGACTTTTAAATAATTAAATAGTGATTAATAATAATATTTATTACTATTTAATGAGATGCTGTCACAAATGTTACAATCTTTTAATCGTTTCTACGGCTTAAACCTGTTATAATATAGATAACATAGTCTGTATAAAATAAAGTACTGCATATGTACTCTTAAATATATGATAAGTTGATATTAATTTTCAATTTTTCATACAATTATATATTTTTCGCTTGAATCCAAGAATTATAGCCTAAAAATAGAAATTATATCAAAGCTATAGAAAGTTCGCTTTACAAACAATTCTTTATATGTTAAATTTTAAATTCAAAATTAAATATATGTAAAGTTATATACTTTATATAAATATTATTTCAATATTGAATTCTGCAACAAGTGTTTCATTATATTCTAAGCAGTATATACTCTGTATGTAATCATACATAGAATCTCTCTCTCTCTCTCTCTCTCAACTATTCAATTCGCAATCGACTCCACAGCACATATACTACTCACAAAACGTATACATACACCACAGCATCCGTGCAATGATTGTCATGACAACTGCAGTGCCACTAAACTTTCCTCTCTTTTTATTCACCATTTGTTAACAACAAACTCACTCTCTATTACATGCTCTCTGTGTGTATATTTTAATGCCAAATGATCAAGGTAGCGATCAGGGTTGGTTTAATTCTGTGCGGTGGTAGCTTGATGGTTTTCATACGAAAACATTTATGTAATCGTTTGCAAAAATAAATTAAATCTACTAATATCTGTTTACGGAATATTCCGTATTGTTTATAAATAGTATATTCTATTGCATAACATTATTAATGTAACTAAAATTGTGTATGATAAATTAATATGATTATTTATGACATCACAATTGGCATTTGTCTGCATTAATGCCTTGATATTTGTGGTGAAATTCAAATTAAACCTAAGAAAACAGAGAGTATATCAGAGCCCGCATTGTCTCTTAAACACAATCAATACTCCAGTCCTTCCACTTGTATGTAATAATAGATCAAATATTGAGATATATATTGATCTAATTCTTCTAAGAAGATATGTTTTTCATCTCTTGAGATCTGTAGAGAGAGAGAGAGAGAGAGAGAGAGAGAGAGA